CCCCCCCCGCGGATTCCATCCTCCCGGTGCACGGGACTGGAGGGGGGAGCCTTGTCCTGCCCACCAACGGCGAGAAGGAGGAGGGGATTCCCGTCTCGGAGCGCTATCGCGGCGCCACGCCGGCCACAACGCCGGGCGGGGAGGTTGTCTTGGTCACCCCAACGGGGCATTCCTTACACGAGGACGACACCTCCTCGTGTTTTGTCGACCTCCCGCTTCATATTCAGCGGCTCTCCGGGGGCATCACGAATGAGCTCTTTCACGTGTTTGACCCGGATAACCAGGCAAGGTCGGTGGTGATACGAATTTTCGGAAAGGAGACGGAGCGGGTGATCTCTCGCGAGAGTGAATTGTTTTACCAATCCCTTTTTCTAAAAACTTTTGCTCACGGTGACAATTTTCTCATTTACGAATTCCTGAACTCGTACGAACCTTTGCCGTACGCTGAGATGTCTGTTGAGTGTGAGGCAATCGCTTCAGCGATTGCGGCATTTCAGGTTCGTGCAACCTGGGCAGCCCATAAAAAGAAAAATATGCTGCCACCGATGAACGGGCTGAGGGAACTCAAATCTCAATCAAAAGGGAAAGATCCAAGCCTTGAGATGAGAAATAGTGTCCGTAATGAATGTGAAATCGTGGATAATAATAAGGGTTCCGCATTCACCACTGTTAAGGATCGGGGGTGTCTAACTCGTTTTGAATGTGAGTCTAACTATACTATTCACTCGCTCACCGCATGGGTTGAACTGATTATTTCTGATGAAATTATTGACAAGGTAAATGAGGAAAAACAAGATGAGTTCAGGCGCATAGGAAAGGAACTTCATAAGGAAAGCCAGTACATGCTAAAACTCCTCGAGCCGCATCTCAAATTTTTAGGCGAGGGTGTCTGCCACAACGATTTACTTAGTGCAAACTTTATGCGACACATGACGACAGGAAAGCTGAAAATTATTGACTTTGATTATACCAAGCGAAACTTCCTTTTATTTGATCTTGCCAACCACTTTAATGAATATACCGGATTGGAGTGCGATTACGCCAAATACTTTCCCTCCGATGAACACATCTCTACCTTTGTGAGGAGCTATCGACGCGCAATGCGAGCACAGCTTGAACGAAGTCACGCTGAGCTGAACATCACAGAGGACATCATCTCCAACGAGCGGGCGTTGTTCTTCACTGAAAGCGCTGTACAAGAGGAGAAGGCAATTCTACACTCAGTTGGGCTTCTGAAGTTACTTACGCTCTACTCGCACTTGTCGTGGAGCATATGGTCGCTACTACAGGAAGCTGTATCTGCTCTCGATGTTAATTTCCTTGAGTACGGAAAGCTACGCTTGGAGCGCTATTATGAGACGAAGGATAATTTTTCTCAACCATATGTAATAAATTGAATAAAAAAAGTGACTGAATATACTTTTTGAGCACATTGATACTATATACTGACAAAACTCTGTCAGTGTTTAGTTTTTTTTTCCGTTAGTTCTCAGATTTGGGATCATGCTTAGATAATTGGCGCTGTTTTGTCACGATCACTTTTTTCTTCATAAACTTTTTAAACTCAATTATAATAACTGGGAATTTTTCGTTGAATAAAAAAAGATGGTTTCAAGGTTTGAAGCCCTAAGCTTTGCTTAGATGGTTTCTTTTCCATTCTGTCAATTCTTGACTTAAACAATTGTCGTGTTCTTAGCATTGTATTCAATAATGAATCTAATCATTCTTTTTTTTCTCACTGAAGGGGACTATTTGATCAAAAAACATTAAATCGTAGTTTTTTTTTTTGACTATTTCTTTTATCTGCATTCCTTATATTAGTGTATAAATGCTGTCGATTTTAAATTTTGTTTATCAACTATATTCCAATGAAAATTTATAATAACTTCCATAATGGCTTAAAAATTCTATTTTTGGCTCTGATTTTTTTTAGTCAGGGCTTAACTCATTTTGTTAAAGCACTTGCAGAAGAAAAAAAAAGTTTTCCGTACACTGAGGGTGCATTACCGATAAGGGGGCGCTTCGCAGGTGATCCTTCATAAAAAGAGGAAAAAAAAAACCAAAGAGGCTCACTTTTGTTTTTTTCTTTCCCTTTCTTTCATGTTAAGGGTTGAACTTCCTATATTCTTCAAGAAGAATGGGATTCGTTCACTAAAAGCCGAACTTGAGGTTGCCAAGGCCTTTGCGACGGCTTCTACGGCCGTGTCCACATCGGGTCTCCCCTGCGTTCGCTTAGAATTCGACTGCCCCGGGTGCGTCCGCGGCGAGCTCGACCCCGATCACGCCTCACGTGCCTTTCGGGATGCCTTTTTGCGGCTCATCGACCGGGCGCTGGCCCGTATTTACCCCCCGATCGACGTTCTGGAGTACCTCAGCGACCGATCGCCGCAGTTCCCCTCGGATGGGGCCTTCGGCGTTGTGTTTTTCTTTGAGGGCCTTCCCTCGCCCTTTGGCGGTGTTGGCCGCTCTTCTCGAAAGTGGGATCGGCAGGGCGGCGTGCGCAGGGTTGAGGGGGCGGCCGCGCCGTTTTTTGACCTGCAAAGGAACGTCGAGGAGGGGGTGGGGGAGGGGCCCGGGCCGTCCCTCGCCGGGCCGATTTCTCAAGAGGATTCGGCACTTTGGTTTCGGGCGAAGTGGGCCGGCGCCAGGGCGAGGCTCGCGCAGGACCACCCCAAAGCATTGGAGGACCGCTCGGGAAGTGTGTCTTCGCACCAGTCCGGCGGCGGGGATCGCGAGGCGGAAAGTCTTGAGGCGGCGGCGGCGGCGGCCCTACCCTACATCGCGGAACGGCTTGCGGTTTTTCATAACAAGGCCAGCCTGTGGTTGACCGAACGGATCGCGAATGAGGGAGGGGGCTGGGCCAGGCCTCCTGCATTTCTTCCCCCTTCCCAGATGCGCGACAGGAAGCGGGATCGCCCGGTTTTGGCCCCCCTCCATCCCAATCTCTTCGCCGCCGCCGCCTCGTTCGCCCTGCCCTCGCCGAGGGGGGGGGAGATCGGGGGGAAACGAATACAGCGACGGAAGGGAGGCCGCCGGGGGCCCCCTCGCTCTCTTTTCTTCACATGGATCTGCGGGGAATCGAGTTTGAGGCGGTGTTGGTCGCCCACACCGCGCGCTACGCGTACGTCGCGTGCCCGTGTGGGGATCCCGCGCTGCGGGGGAGGAATCCGGCCTCGCAGGGCCTGGGGGTGCATTCTTCCGAGGAGCCCATTTCCTGGGTCTTAATTTCCCGTTTGCCGATTCCTTCGTTTCTGGTGGAGACGGCGGAAGTGGGGAATCGAAAGCGCGGGGCGTCGGCCGGTGGAGGCCGCTTTTTGCAGCTCGTGGAGGGCACACGATTCGACAACGCCGGCCCTTTACGCGAGCTGAGTGAGGCGCATAAGCGACGCATAACCATCCGTGCACACGGGGTGCGATGCCGCGAGCTACGCGGCGCCCTGGCGGACACCTCTCCTTTCTTCTACAAGGGTGTTCCCCTCTTTCTCTGGTTTGAAGAAGCGCACCTTCTCGATTGGGGTCCTTTTCATCTGCCCGGGGCGTCGGGGGAAGTGAAAACCGAGGCGTATGATGGTGTGTGGGAATCTGATTTGATCCCGCTCGTCGAGGCGAGTTGTCAGCGCTACCTGCGTACGTGCAGGAAGATGAATCGCTATCTGCAGGCGAATGGGGCTCCGTCAAACCCCGAAGGCCCCCTTAAATCCCGGCGTGTTGATGCCAGCGAACACCTCGAGTGTGCTTTGGTGGACACTACGTCTTCCTCCGCGGATGATGTCGCCTTGCGGCTTCGCGCGAAGTTACGTCAGGGGAAAGCCCGCCTCGCGGCAAAGGCGAACGCCGTATTCTCCCGCATAACCGACACCCGATCGGTTCACTACAAAAAACTGCGCCGAAAGCCCTTCAACTCGGTCCCCCTTATCCGCACTTCGCGGGATGTGAAGGGTCTTTTTGAGGGCCCAACGGTGGAATTCAAGCATCATCTCAGCAGTTATCGCGCGGCCGTGGTGGAGACCCCCGAGGACGGCCCCGACAACGCGAAAAAAGGGCCCGTCATTATGGACGTGGAGCGTGTTCGCCATACCATCGCGGCCATGGCCTCCACGATGGGTGGGGTCTTGTGTGTGGGGGTGAGCGACGAAGGGGAGATTATTGGCCATGAGCGCGGCGCGGTCGTGAAGACTCTGCGCACGACGGGGTTTTGCCCCGTGATGGTAAAGGACAGCGTGGTGGTCAAGGAGCTGCCGGTGCTCAACCCGACGTCGTCGAAGGACACCTCAAACACGGGGTTGGACCCCCCCCTCAAAGCCCTGCCCAAGGACTGGTGGAAAATGCCATCCATGACGCTTCCTACCACGGGCTCAGGTCAAGCCAGGGATTTGCCCTGTGCGGCTCGTGATGGGGGAGATGAACCGCGTAATAATGGTGGTGAAATGGAGCCAACGCTTCAAGAGCATTTGGACAAGGTACTTACGATCATTACGGTTAGCAAAGGGTCCGCGCCGTTTTACTCATCCTGTCGAACGGTACTGCCATACCTGCGGGGGTGCGCTAGTACGGTTCGCATGCCAGGCCTCATAATGGCGAGGAGGCTCGCTGGACAGTTTGAGGGGGAAATAACCTACGATGACTGAGGGGGTCCTAAACTCAGCGCTAGCAGCACCGATACGGAATATCTAAAACGCAGCAGTTGCTCTATAGCTTTCAAGTCAGGAAAAGGAGCGTATAAATAAGACATATTTAACCATTAATTCTATCAAAAAGAGGGGGAAAACGCGAGGCGATGAGTGGCAGAACATATTGTGTGACCAAGTAGAAAAAAAAGACTCATCGTCCTCCATTTGATCTTCTCATTGCGTCGATTAATTTGTCCCTGAACTTCTTCTTAAAATAAAGATTTCACTGATATAGTTATAAGGGAAGAATCGTAAAAAACGAAACCTTTTTTTACCAAAAGTTTTAACTTTTTTATTTTCTTTTTTTCCGTGTGACATATCAATCATGGGTTTTATGGATTTCTTTCACCGTATGACGCCCCAAGAGAAGCTGCGTAAATACAAGCGTACACTAGACAGGACATCTCGAGACTTGGAACGGGAGCGTAGTAAGCTGATCGCGCAGGAGAAACGGCTTATAATTGATATGAAAAAAATGGCAAAGCAGAGCGAAATGGACGCTCTTACCATAATGGCGCGTGATTTGGTGCGCACACGGAAATACAATCAGAAAATATACCGTATGCGGACTCAACTTCAAGGTATTACGTTGAAAATACAGACCATGAGTTCTACTACTCAAATGGCCACCGCAATGAAGGGCGTCTCAAAGGCCATGAAATCTATCAACAAAAATTTAAATATTCCTGAAATGCAGCGCATCATGAGAGAATTCGAAAAGGAAAATGACTTATTAGATATGAAAGATGAAATGGTCACCGATGTTATTGACAATGTCATGGATGAAGAAGACGTCGAGGAGGAAACCGAACAGGAGATCCAAAAGGTGATCGATGAGGTTGGAATCGATCTGCGCAATATGGGTGTCAAGAAAGGGGACCTGCAAGCCAAACCCACTGAGGAGGAAATAGAGGAGGACAAAGAACTAGATGCACGCCTAGCCGCCTTAAAGTCATCTATGAAATAGGAATAGTGTTGATTGTTTAGGAGGTGAACTTTTTTTAATGGAATCAGAAACCTGATTGTCCAAACTGTTTTTTCTTCCTCCTTTGATTATTCAAAAACAGTTCTTTTCCTTTCATTCAATTGAAAGGTTTATTTTTTGACATATTTTGTATTCCATGAAACATATGCTGAAAAGTTGCTTGCTTAAGGCGAGGAAAGGGCTTTGCTAAATTCTTATTATATATGTATGTGTATACTTGTTTTAAATGACGAAAAGTAAGCATTCGCCTTTCTCTACGGCCTCATAGTCCTTTTTGGAGCTGCTGTGCGTTTTCACACTTTAGTGTGTATCGGCTTCTCTATTCGTTTGTTACGAGTTCTTATATATATATATATATATATATATATATATATACATA